GTTCGAGACCAGCCTGGGCTACAGAGTGAGCTCAAGGCCAGGCTGAGCTGCATAGCGAGACCCTGCCTCAAAAAGACCAAAAAAAAGTATTGGTGTAGTTGCAAAGCTGAATTGATTCCTGTGAGTGAAGAGTACCCACCAGGGCCTTCTGCCTTCCCCGCGGAGCACTGTCCTGCCTCCCGTGCGGCTCGGTTCGTGACCATGTCCTCATCCGTCCCACACGGCCCCTGGCTCGCAGCGCAGCCGGGACGAGGTCCTAGTGCTGGAAGCAACCTGGGCGCTGCCCCAGCGCCCGAGCTACTCTCAGCAGTTTTTTCCTTAAGTGATTTTTTTTTTTTTTTTTTTTTGTCTTTTGAGGCAAGGTCTCATTATGCAGTTCAAGCTGGCCTTGAGCTCACTTTGTAGCCCAGGCTAGCCTCGAACTCACATAGATCCTCCTGCCTCAGCCTCCCGGGTGCTGGGGTTACAGGTGTGTGCCACCACGCCCGGCCTTTAAGTGATTTTGTTCTCATTGCAGCTCCCGGGCTAATACAACTTTTTGTCCTGTTTTAAAACCGAGGAAAGTTGGTCGTGGTGGTGCACACCTGTAATCCCAGCACTTGGGAGGCTGAGGCAGGAGGATCGTTGTGAGTTCTAGGCCAGCCTGGGCTATAAAGTGAGCTCAAGGCCAACCTGAACTGCATAGGGACACCCTGTCTCAAAAAGACAAAAAAGTACATAAATAATAAAAATAAAAATAGAGCCGAGGAAAAGGAAGTGCTGTGTGTGACAGACACTCTTGTCCCTGTCTAAGCACGCCTAGCTGGGGGGTGGCGGAGGTGGAATTGCTGAAGAGTGCTGTACTCAGTCTGTTTTTCCCGTGGGCCAGGGGCTCCCTGGGTGCCCACAGGCGGCTGTGTGGCCGTCACACCTGGGAGGTGCTAGTGGCTCCTGGCCTGGTGAGCTGGGGCTGCTGCTGAATGTTTATGGGACAGAGTGGCACAGTGCCAGGCCGGCAGTGCCAGGGCTCAAGACCCGAGCATCGGACACAGCTTCATCAAGTGCTTTCTTGGGACGCTTCTTTTCTTTTTTTAAATTTTCTTTGCCAGGCCACTTCTCATTCAGGCTTCTGCTTATTGGTCTCTCAGAGAGGACGAGTTATGTGTGCAAGACCCTGCAGCTTGAGGGTGGCCACGCCCCAGAGGGACGCTGTGACCCCACTGTGGCTGCCGGGAGCTGGGGGGCTCTGAGGGCGGGACCACCTGTCTCCCAGGCTGTGGGAGGGGCATGTGGGGCTCCTGAAGCATCCAGGTGCCGCAGCAGCCTTGGTGCGGCGCTCCGTGGGTGACCAGCCCCAGAGCGGTGACCCAGCCTCCCGGAGCCCTGCCCCGGGCCGGCGACCGCGCACCTGCTCAGCGTGGCTGGCCTGGCCGCCGCTGGCTCAGGTCCCTCTCTCTGCAGCTGTTGGGGTCTGCGCAGCCTGGAGTCAGCTCTGGCCAGCTCTTCCGGAAAGCCCTCCTTGCCTGCCCCAGGTGGGTCCTCCCTCCTGAGGATGGGCGTCGTCGTCGTCGTCGTCGTCGTCGCTGTGGCCCATCCTGCAGCTGGGTGGGTGCGGCTGCGCCTCAGTGCTGGTGGCGGGGGGAGCCGCCTTCCTTCGTGCGCCCCCAGGCAGCCTCTTGCGGTTGGTTCTGAGGCTCTGCATGCCAGCTGGGCTTGGACCACACGGGCCCTGGCTGTCCTGGAGCCCAAACTAGTGAGGGAAGCTGGCCCATGAATCCAGCTGAGGAGAACCATGCTGGTGACATCATGGAGAGCGGCTGGGGCAGGGCAGCGGTGCCGCACTAGTGGGTGACCCGGGACTCCCCCCTGGGGCCTAGGCCCAGCTGAGTACTCTCGGAGGGCAGAGAGTGGCGGGGTGCACAGCAGGCAGGAGGGAGCTGTGGGCTGGGGCGGGGGCGGGGAGAGAGGGCCGGCCAAGGTGGCCAGGGGGGAGCGTGCGCCAGGGCGGCGTGCAGCACCGCACCTTGGCTTCCTTCATCCCGCGATCGGGCGAGGGCCTGGACGAGCTGCCAGTCTGTCACAGGCCGGCCTGGCCTGCGGGGCTTTTCCTTCCTCGTACCTAGAAGCGGGAGGTTATCACGGTTTCCTGTGAACGGTGCTAGCTCACAGTGCCCTGGGGGGACCTCATGTCCCGGGCGCCCCCAGCCCATCCCGGGCCCTCCCCGGCTCTGCTGCACGCTGCCAGGGTCTGTGTTTGGAGGATGCCCATGCCCTGAGGGATGCCGAGCAGCGTCCCTGACCTGCTCCCCACAGCCCGCAGCTCTTCCTCGCCAAGGTCAGAGCCGTGGCAGAGCCCTCCTGCTGCGCCGGGCAGTGTCACTGGTTGGCAGCCTGGGCCTCATCCGCCCCGCCTTCCGTGGGCAGGGGGCGGCGCAGACAGCCTCCTCCAGGCTGGGGTGTGAGTGGCTGGGACCTGCTAGGGTGGTGGCATGCGCGGGCTGTGGTGGGTGCTGTGCTGGGGGCTGTGTGCCCCGAACCCCAAACTCACACGCGGAAACCCCAGGCCAGGGCGCGGGCTCTGGGGGGCGGCTGGGCGCGGCGTTTCCCCAGGGCCTGCGTTGGCACAGGGCGTGTGGTGGCCCAGCAGCCCTGGGACAGCCCTCACCACACTGCCCGCTCTGTTTCCCTCTGCAGGCCCCATGGAGCCTCCCGCACCCCTGCCCGTGAAGCAGGAGGAGCCGGCCCCCGAGGGTCTGGGCCCGGGCGCAGAGACGCAGGACTCGCCGGCCCTGGACGCCCCGAGCCCGGACTCGCCCTGGCTCCGCTTCCGCCACTTCCAGCTGGGTGCGGCGCCGGGGCCCCGCGAGGCGCTGGGGCTGCTGCGGGCGTTGTGCCGCGCCTGGCTGCGGCCCGAGGTGCGCACCAAGGAGCAGATGCTGGAGCTGCTGGTGCTGGAGCGCTTCCTGAGCGCCCTCCCCGCCGGCGCCCGCGCCTGGGTGTGCAGCCGGCGGCCTCGCAGCGGGGACGAGGCGGTGGCCTTGCTGGAGGAGCTCTGGGTGAGCACACGTGACCGAGGCTGGTGCGGGGGTGGGGGTATGTAGGGTAGGTGTGGCGCTGAGGCCCACAGCGTCCCCTCCTGTCAAGGCGGGGGCCGGCTGCCCCAGCCAGGAGAGATTCCCAGCAGGGGTGGTTAGCCCGTGTCCCCAACCTGGTGTGCAGAGAGGGCGTCCTGTAGCGTGCAGCCAGCTCCATCCTTGGAGTCGCTAGGACCCGCACCAGGTCCCACCTCGTCCTTCTGGCCCGAGGCCCAGGCAGAGCGCCCTTTCGCGGGGGCTGCGACCTGCTTTCCGGAGGCCCCGCGGGTCTGTGCCGCACAGCTGGAGCCTCGCCCCTGCAGAGGAAGCGTGTGAGTGCCACCTGTCACCCTTGCACTGCAGCAGCCGCAGCCAGATGTGTGAGGGGGCGGGGAGCAGCTGTGTCACCCATGGTGCTGGACACGTGTGTCCTCAGCACAGGCCGTGGCTGCTGCGTCCCCTGGACAGCGGGAGAGGGCAGCGGGTGCTCGGGCCGAGGCTGCTCCAGGAGCAGAGCGGCGGGGACGCTGGAGCTGCCACGGAGGTGGCGAGTGAGGGAGCGTGGCCAGCGCCTGCTGTGCTGTGCTGTGAGCTGTGGGCACAGCTCCTCGGCCCCGGGCAGCTGGACAGCCATCCCTCCTTCCCACGGGGACCGCTGCTGCCCATGCCCCCCGCTGCCCGCTTTGCGCCCCATCTGTCCCCTTCTCTGGCTGGAGCCCCAAACCCACCCTGTCCATGCCTTGGCCATGCAGGCCCCTCCCTCTTCCTCCCTCGGGCGTGAGCACCCACAGCCGGCTGCTGTGACAGAGCCCACGATAGCTCGGCAGTGGAGGGCGAGCCCCGTGTGTCAGCTGAGGTCCGGGCAGGTCCCTCGGGTGCCTTTTCAGTTCCTGAGGCCCAGGGTCCCTCACCCAGGCTCTGCCCCTGTGTCTGTCGCCCCTCTCCTTAGACCTGGTTATCTGTGTCCCCTCTCAATTTTTTTCTTTCATCTTTTTGAGACGGGGTCTAACTGTGCAGTTCAGGCTGGCCTTGAGCTCAGTTTGTAGTCCAGGCTGGCCTCCAACTCGCAGCGATCCTCCTGCCTCAGCCTGCCGAGTACTGGGGTTCCAGGCATGCACCACCACGCCTGGCTCCCCTGTTACTTGTAAGCAGGTCTGTGATGACCCTGGGCCTCGCCAGATAATGCAGGACAGCTTCCCTGGCCCACACCTGCAGAGTAGGCCACAGCCCTCCAGATCCGGGGTGAGAACGAGGACGTCTTGGGGGCCCTGTGCCCTGTGTCCTGAGGACACGGTGACGTGCAGGTGTGGGGCTGAGCCGAGGGGAGCATCTTGTGGCCTGAGCCACTTGCTGACCCCTTTCCGAAGGGTAGGTCTGGGCTCGGAGCCAGGCAGCAGCGGGCACGAGCCAGGGAGGTGAGGTTGAGTCTTGGCTGACGGTGACCACAGGGACCTGCAGATGGGACCTGGGGTCAGAGTGAGGGGCAGCAGCGGTCCGGGACCCCGTGCTGTGGCTGGGGACGCTGGGCCTTGGGGGGGCGCTGCCAGGTGGTACGTCCCCGCTGTCCTCTGTCCTCATGGCAGGCCCAGGGCGAGGAAGATGGATGCCTGTAGAGGGGTGCCACCCCGAAGCCGGGGGTTTTCACACTGCGTGTCCAGGCAGTGGCTGCAGTGACGTCTAAACGTTCTTTTCTGATGTGCAGTTCTTTGCATTTGTGTCACACCATAGATGCCAAGTGGTTCCCGTGCCTGTGGCTTTGCTCTGGGGACTGTCCCGTGATGGGTGAGCAGGGTCCTGCAGGGCACAGCCTTTGGAACGGTTCCTCTCCCCTGGCGTGAGACCTTGAGAGTCCCGGGCGAGTGTCTGTGGTTCCACCTGGCTTCTCCCCGCTGAGGGGTTGTGGTGGCATCCAGGGTGCAGCTGCTGTGGGTGCCCAGGAGGTCTGCGTGAGCACACATGCTCTCCTGTCCCGCCGCACAGCTGCTGGCCTCGTGGTAGCTGCCTAGTAGCCTAGGCAGGGCTTGGAAGCAGCAGCCGGGTGCTTCTCACAGTCCTGGAGGCCACGGGTCTGAGGCCAGAGCAGGTGCGGTGTCGGAGGTGGGCCTGGTTTCTGCTCACAGCTGGCCGTGCTCTGCCCTGGGGTGGCAAGGGAGGACGTGGCTCTCAGCCTCTTGGGGGGGCGCCAGTCCCCTCCTGACGCTGCCCCTGGGGCCGGGGCTCCCACCAGGGCTGGGAAACAGAGCCACCGTTCAGCCCACAGCAGAGTCTCTGGCACTGTGCTTTTTGTTGTTTGCGCACGGGAGTGACCCCAAGGCTTTGCACTGAGCTGCATCACCTTTTTATTTATTATTCGGGGACAGGGCCTTGTGAAGTCCCAGTTGTCTGGGCAGGCTGGGCATGCTCTTGCAGTCTTCCTGACTCAGCCTCCCAGAATACTGGGATTACAGGTGTGTACCCCCGCACCCAGCTCGTCTGTCCATTTCCTAACTGGGCTGTTTGCTTCCTGTTGGTGAGTTTTGATCATCGTTCATACATTCTGGGTACAAGCCCCTGTCAGGTGTTAAGCGGTCACGCTTTAAAGCATTTCACGTCTGTGCTGCCGGGGCTCGGGAGCACAGGAGAGGGAAGCCGAGGCCGGAGCCGTCTGCTTACTGCCCTGACGGCCGAGTCAGCGCTCATGTCCCTGCCTCAGGGAGCATGAGTGGCAGCAAGTGCGCAGCCAGGACCAGAGCGCGGCCTCCCCTCGGGGCAGCGCCGTTATGTGAGCGCTCCCTGTCTGTGTTTTAGCGTTAAAATGTCCTTTTAGGTAAAGCAGTAAAAGCAGGTGGTCATTACTACTGCAGCCAAGGGATGCACCTAGCAGAATAAAACACCCCTTCCAACAGGGGTCCTGTCCGTCCAGAGACTCTGAAGGGTGGGAGTCCCTGGGCCCCGCGGCGCTGAGGCCGCTCTGCTCTGGGCCGGGGCTGTGGGGTCCCCTCGCAGCCAGGCCGGCTCTCCCCAGGCGGGAGCCTCTTGGTGGCTGATGCGCTCCCCGGTGCCGGAGTAGCCCTGGCCTGGAGCAGGTGCGGAGAAAGTGAACAACCCCCTTACCCTGCCTTGAAGCGCACACAGGGTCCAGGGCTGGGCGCTGGCAGCCCAGGGCACATCTGCTTCCCTGCTGCTGTTGAGAAGGAAGCTGATTGCCCGGAAGGGTCAGGCGCCTTGCCCACAGCCAGGGCGCCGCCGTCAGCACAGAGCCAGAGGGGATTCTCTGCAGTGACAGGCAGGGTGGCGTCTCCGCTCATGAGACCCGGAGGAAGGCTGGTGGTGGCCAGGGAGCTGGGAGAGGACCCAGCTGCTGCCTGGTCCGCAGGATGGGGCGGCCCGGCCAGGCTGCCTCAGGTCAGGCCTGAGGAGATCCTGACGCTCTAGCCAGGGGCACGGGCATAGCGCAGAGGTGCTGGTGAGTGGAAGAGCGGAGGTTTGTGAGAAAGCAGAGGCGCACTGATGAATAAGGTCCCAAACTCATGCTCCGGAAGAGTAAGAAGGTAGCACAGACCGTCAGCAAGTCCATAGGAACCAAACACGGGAACACACGTCTGCTTCATTGGGAACAGGCACAGCTGGGCACAGCAGAGATGCAGGCTGCTTGCACACCAGCCGGGCCTGGAGGACAGGGACTGGTTCTGGGAAAAGAGAAATCACCAGAAGCAGCTGGAGACCAGACACCAAAAGGGAAAGTGAAATCAGTGATAAAGCCAGGTGTGGTGGCGCAGCCTATAATCCCAGCACTCGGGAGGCTGAGGCAGGAGGATCATTGGGAGTTGTAGGCCAGCCTGGGCTACAAAGTGAGCTCAAGGCCAGCCTGAACTGCATAGCGAGACCCTGTCTCAAAAAGACAAAAAAAAAGTCAGTGACAAGGACTTCCACAAATGGCGCCAGGCCCCAGTAGGTTCATGTGTAAGCACTGCCCAACCTCCAAGGAGTGGATGGTTCTTTGCATCATGGACTCCTCCAGAGAACAACGAGGAATGGCACCAACTCACCCTGCAGGACAGCCAAACCCCTCTGCAAAACCAGCCACGCCAGAAAAGGACAACCCAAGAAGAGCAGCTGTAAGTCCGTCTCCTAGGAAGCAGACGCAGGAATCCCACGGGGAGTATTAGCTACCGGAATCCAGGGAAGGGGCGATGCACAGATTCATGGCACCAGGTGGGGCTGGCTCAGGTCTGCGAGGAAGTTCCGTCCCGCAGAGGGCACAGACCTAGAGGTGGAGGGCAGGGCCCGAGCTGCTGGATGGCCCACAGTCTGCCGCGCTGAGAGCCGACCCTCCTCCTGGACAGGGCGGGCACTTGCAGGTCCAAACTGGAAGGGCCAGGAACCTTGCAGCGGCGATGGCGTGTGACTCGGCTAGACCTCCGCCGACAGTCCCAGAGCATTCCAGCAGGTCAGACGTGAGAAGGGGAGCTGTGTGTAGCTCCGGGCCAGCACTGGAAGAAGTCCGACTGTCTTCCCAGGGGCGTGTGCTTGGGGACGGTGAGGACTGGAAAGAAACCAAAGCTGCTGGTCTGAAGCTCTGCGCAAACCTTGTCTCTGGCCGGGGCCGTGGCCATCCGCCACTGGCCCTCACTCAGCTGTGCTTCTGAGTTCCGTGTGGCTTACATGCTGTCCTGCAGTTAATCCGAAGGGCCGCAAGGAGCTGCAGTGTGACTTAGCAGGCGTGTGACTTGGTGGCCTGTTGCTCTGCAGCAGTCCCCAGGCTTAGGAGTTTAAGACAAGGAGCCCTTAGATCACACCAAGCTGCCGTGGTCCTGGCTCTCGGGGCCCGGCAGGCCCGACTGCACCGGGAGGTCATGGGCACCATGGCGGGGCTGCTGTCTCCCGAAGGCTGGCCTGGGGGCAGGAGGCCTCCCACCGCATGGCTGGGGCTTCCCCAGGGCCTGACGGGGTGACCCTGCGGGGAGGTGGGCGCAAGGGGAGGCTGCTCAGCCCGGGATGTGCTCTCGTTTCAGGGACCCACCCCCTCCCCAGGCTGGTCGTCCGCCACAAGGCCGCCTCAGGACGTGGCGGAGGGCGCCGGGCTCAGTGTTGGAAAGGAAGATAGCGGGGCCGCTCCCTTCGGTGAGCATCGGGCCCCTCCCACCCTCTGTCCACGGCAGCAGGGCTCCCTGCTCCTGCACCACGCACTCGCTCGGTGCCCGCCCTGCCCCTGTCAGAGCTGCTGGTTCGTGGGGCCCCGCCAGGAGGAGGTGGGTCGCGGGAGGCGTGCTGCTGGTGGGCAGTGGCTGGAGATGCGCCTCAAGGCCGCAGCCCGCCAGCTTGTCAGAGCCCGCTGCCGGTCTCCAAGAGGTGTGGCCTTGCCCCCGGCCTTGTGTGGCTGCAGAATCTGAGGACAGCAGGGCAGGCACAGGCCAGGAGCAGGTGGTGACCAAGCCAGACTGGACCCAGAGGGCCTGGCCCCTGTGCCCACCCTGGAGCTGGCTGTGGCGTCAGCCGTGTGGAAACCACACGTGAGGGCAGAGGCTCGGGACAGAGGAGGGGGACGGTGGAGCGGACACCAGGGATGTCCCAGCTGCAGGAGGCAGTGCAGCCAGTGCCCGGGGGTGGGGAGGCCCCGGGGAGCAGAGGGCACGCTGAGCTCCTGACCTGACAGCCAAGGTTGTGGTATCCCCGGCCGCCCAGAGCGGATGGGAGACCCGCCTCCCCCAGTAACCCGCTGCAGCTGCGGGCACCCTGCCGGGCTCCACCCATGCCCGCCCTCCCCTCCTCCCCCAGGGTACAGTCAGCCGACCCACGGCACATCTTCCTGCTGGGCTGTTACCTCCCCTCCGTCCACCTGCTGGTCCCCTGACGTCCGTCACCCACCTGCTTACCTGCCCATCCGTCCACGGTGGCCCCCAGCCCCTGCCCCCTGCTGGCCAGCTCCGAGCTGAACCTGACCCCACGCTTTTCCCTGCAGGCGTTGTGGGCCCTGGAGTGGAGGTGCCGGCGACGGGAGACGCCCGGGCCGCGTGGCTGCCCAAGCAGGAGCCCGACAGCCCGCCGCCCGCTGCCCCGGGCACCCCCGGGGTCCCCTGCCCCGAGTGCGG